ATTTGTTAGGCTTACTACAAATGTTATGGTTTTGTGCATTGTTTGAAATTCTATTCAGAGTTTGAAATGATGACTTTGAAATGTCACATTTGTATCACATTTTCTGTTTATGTGAGTGGGATACTTTGCCTAATTTTACTGGAAATTTTTCCCAGAATTTCTATTTGATTTTTATGGTGTTCTTCTTTTGTTCAAAAATGAGTAAATAAAGTTCAGTATTTCAAGGGATTTAACATAGATAAAATCAGAGAAAAGTACATTTTAATGATGCTAAAAAAAAAACATTTTCTTTTAATATTTAAAGGCATTTTTAAGAAGAAACTACAGCATTTGCTTAATGTCAGCCCTGGTTGACAGTAGAAGCAACACTTGCAGGCAGTCTTTTATTTTTCTTTGCCTTTTCACATAGGCAGTCAAACCATCTATTGGGATATTGTTCGTAATATTCCTCTGTGGTAGGAAAACAGGGATGCAAGGCAGCATCCCTTTTTCTGGTGAGAGAAGTGGAAGAACTTAATAAAAAAACAGTTTTGGCTTCCCTTTCTACTATCACAGTCGCTTCTCCTGTCAAAATACTATTGGTTTACTAGGAGCCATAAGGAAGGACCCACTGCTTGGAAATCAGCAATTTGGATTTTCATACATTTACACAGAATCTGGTTTATATCTGCAGCATAGGCGAGGCTACCATGAGGCGTTAGTGACCAGAAAGTCAGCAAAGGCAGTTAAATATGAAAATGTGTCAGATAAGAAAGGTTAAAATGGATTTTTTAATGTTATTTTTCGTACTCCGTCATTTTTAAGGTATTCGGTATTTTTATTAATTTTTTTTTTTAGTAGAAACTTTTACTGATTAAGGCAAATTGTTGTGGGATGAAGATCTGTTTAATAGTACAAATAGTAATGAGTGCTCTACCGTTACACTGCCTTTGAGGGTAACACTCACAGATATTGTTGTTACTCTAATAGCTTGTAATTTTTTCCCTCTATGGTTAGCTTCATTCCTTGTAATTTTACATTCATCATCTTGCTGTGCTTATTCTCTCTTTGCAAATGAATTTACAATTTGCAGGACTATGTAGGCAAAGATGCTGAGTCCACAGACGATATGTGGGAGCAAATCAACAAAAATCATGTATAAGCCAAGTCGCACAACTTTATTTCATATGGATAATACTTAATTGTGGATGTTGTCTTGGCAGTGGCTGATTCAAGTTGTAGAAGTTTAGAGATCTGATCGCAGATATCTTGAAATCCTGGCATGATGAAATGATATTAACAGCGTAATCAGTAGAAAATATTCAGATGGTTCTAAAAATCACTCTGGATTTCCTTTGGAGTTAAAAAAAAAAAAAAAAAAAATTGATTCTTAAAATTTAGTTAACATTGGAAAGCATAAAAATCTGAATCTCCAAAAATTGCTTGCTAAGCAACTCAAGACACAACTGGTGTATATATTAATCTGTAAGCAAATTGATAGAATCTTTTTGAAAACTTGACTCCTTACCAAAAAATTGACTCCACCAAGGCTTCTGGCAATACTCTGACACCTGAACAGGGTCAGAATTAGAGACTTGGTGTTTTAATTGGTATGGACCAAAGCACTATCTCTGTAAAAAAGGTGAGATCTGAGTTGGGATTTCTGATGTCATTTTTGCTATTTTTGTACCATATTTTTTACCTATTTCTGGAACCTGTGCCTTCAAGAGGTGCAGTTTTAATCAACAGTGCTCTGCAAAGTGCTGTACCTGGCTCTGTTACAGCTTATGGAGCACTGACAAGGGGATGCCATGAGTTTCCCATGGACCTTCAGAGCTATGTTGTGTTTTGCATGCAGCACCTGTTTTGCAATTCTTCTGTGAACATGTAGGTCTTAATTTGAGTTGTATGGGGTATAAAAGGAATAGTGAAAGTCATGCCTGTCGCATAACAGCTTTATATATTGTTTGTTGTTGTTGTTGCTGTGTTTTAATATGTTTTTTTGTTTGCAGCATGAGATATTTTTAGGATGTAGAGTCTCAAAAATGGGCTTGACAGTTGGAATTCTTCATGAATTTGAGTCCAGATGTTGCAGAATAAGAAATCTCCTCAGCTATGTCTCTCTTCTACTGGCATGAATCAGGCCACACATGATTTCCTGGCTTTAAGGCCAGGTGGCACATTAGGGATTATAGTTACATACCTCTGTTCTCTTCCTTCCAAAACAGGGTGAACTTTCCCAGACTATTTTATGGAATAAAACCATGTCATATGCTATTTGTGAGCTGTCTTAGAATATAATCTGAAACAGCACCAGGAGCTAGGAAGAAGCAACATCACCCCATAGGGAAGTCACTGACAATTAAATAGTCTGTTCTTTCATGGACCAGAAATGTCCATGGCATTGTCTTATTTTGTCTTCAAAAAATTCCAGTGAATTAAAGACACAAATTGTCATCCTGAAGTGCCAACCAAATACTTTAACAGGAGAGATTAGGAACCACCAGGATGGACTTTCTCACCAAAATTAGAGGAAACATAATCTGTCCCAGAATCAGGACACTAACACAAGGCTTGAGGCAGGGAGTCAGAGTGAGGACTCCTCCCCAGTGGAGGAGTTATTTAATAATCCAGAGCTGCACAGTGTGAATCAGAGAACAGTTAAGATACTTGGGAAAGGGAACCTGGAGAAAGGGGAACTTGAAATGGGAAATTTGAATATGAGTTTAGCCATCTCAAGAATGCATGCCATGAGAAGAAGCCTTGTGGGTTATCTAGAGGTAGGCGTCTGTCTTGTGCTTTTAATTAGAGAAGATTTTGCCTTCTTTTCACGTAAAATTGAAAAAATCTTGAAATGTCTGTAAGTTCCACTTAGGGATAAAACTGTTTGCCATTGAGATTTAGTCCTGGCTCCTACTGTAACACCAAATCCTTGAGGACATTTGTGTACTTGACCTTCCAGAACTCCTCTCTCAGCTCTGTAGCTCAGTGATTCCTTGTTCCTCATCTGTGCATGGCATGTACAGCCCACCATGTATAGAATGGTATCTGACGCACGTTGAATACATATAGATAGCTTTCTGCTTCTGACCTTACAAACTGTCCACTTCAGCACTGTCATCCTATTAAATGTCCAACTGCAATCCAAGAAATGCATTTTAAACATGAATGCAAACATTTCTATTACTGATAAGACCAGCGCAGCATTTTTTGCTTTGCTGGGATTGGGACCTTGATAGTTAAAGTTATATTGGAGTAATAACACTCCAAGGTCGCATCCTTTTAGTGACATGGTAAAGAAAGGGCAGGCCATTGCTGAACTTGTGCTGATAAAATTAAGAAGGATTATTTTTTGTGTTTGGTGACATAAGTTAAAACTGAAAGAATACATTTGTGATCCATAAATATTTTACATCACCAGGAACTGGGAGAAAGGTACATGTTGCACCATTTGGCAGTTGGATTCTATTAATGCTGGAAGTCAGATGTTAGAAAACTTCAAACAGCCATCTTTTCATAATACATCATTTCAAAATACATAGGTACCGTGGTTTGCAGAGAGAAGCTTGTAGGCAATTCCAGCTTAGAAGACTAAATCTCTAATTTATAACCTCTCTCTGAATATGCTCCATTGTGCTTCATTTCCATGTTCGATAAAGGGGGGTAATAATCTTTATTGATCTGTCTGCCTTTCAGGAACATACTAAGGAGAACCTAAGAATCACTTTAGTGTTTTGAACACTTTTCATATGTGCATTTCTTTCACTACAGCTCAGTAGATGAGCTGCCCATTTTACCAAGTCCCTTCTCTCAGGGAGCATCTCCCTTTTCTTTGTCTTCTCTGCTCTTCCCATCCAAGCCTTTTTTGACTGGCTAAGTTTGGTAAATTGATAATGACTTTGTCATTTCTCCTTTGATATCCGAGTTGCCATAGCTAACCAAATGAACAGTTTCCACTTAAAGAGATGGATTAAGTTGTCACCTACTTCAAGGCATGGTAGAGGAAATAGAGATGTTTTCTGAATTTTCTTTTACTTTTTCTGTTACAATACTCCTATTACTCCAGCTTCATTATGTCTTTATATAAAAAGTTTTATTTTATTCACAAGTTTCATCAGAAGCCAGTTTCAGATGCTCTCATAGTTCTACAAAGAGTCCTTAAAAAGAGTTACTTTCTTCAACCGAGGGCTTGCAGACAGTCTTCTGTACAATCTCCATTTAACAACTCACCCTAATATTAGTTTTACAGGCACATTCACATTTTAGGAAATCAGTACATTCTGAAATCTGAAATGTCACTAGCGTCTCTTTCTGCAAATGCTTGCCCCAGAAATGTTAGCTAAAATGTTTTATCTAACACCATCTCTCCTGCTGTTGTGTTGTATTGCCTTGTTGTCATCCAAAAGTAGTTGCGCTTTCATGAATTTAACTTTATGAGCTGTATCCTGAAAGGCACCAGCATCTCTTTGGTCTCCTTGAAGCCACAAGAATTTGTTGGTCATTTAGAATATCAGGCAACTTAAAGAAAATGATGTTTATTAATTAAATAATAACTAAATTATTAATAATAATAATAAAACAATAATAACTAAAATTACTAGTAACTCAAAGAACGTTATAGAAATGTATCTGTTCACAGTTAATAATGCTGTAAATTTGAAGAAAGCAAGAAAAACAGGCCTGATGTTTGCATCTGCTTCACTCTACATCCAAGAAGTGGGAACAAATCATCACCCATGGGACAAACGTGGCCCAGCATTTCTTTTGTACACTCACAGCCACAGCAGATTTGTTGGGGGTGGGCAGTGCTGAGATGTGTAGGTGACACATGACTTGAAAAATGACTTTGAAAGTCCTCAACACGCTATGAAGGAATGATTATTCCCACACTTAGCACGTCACACCTATCTTTATGTGCCTGTATCACCTAAGTTTGATTTAGCGCAGGTGAAACAAATCATTCTGTGTGGCATGTGTATGTGGCACCTGTTCATTTTCCCTTTCTGTGTTGTTTTCTCCAGATCATTGGAACAATCCCACTGATGCCTAATCCAGTCCCCTCCAGCCAGGCAGCAGGTGGAGCTCAGGGCCTTCAGGTGCAGCCAATAACTCCACAGTTATTGACCAATGCCCAGGGTCAGATCATCGCTACCGTCATCGGCAACCAGATTCTCCCAGTGATCAATACCCAGGGAATAACGCTATCGCCGCTCAAACCAGGCCAACAGGTAAAGCAGCAGCAGCCTGAATGATTGTCAGAACAGGTGCACAAGAATCTTCTACTCCTCACAGACTCTCACAGTCTTTCTGAAAATTCACTTCTTTCCTGTTTCTGCTACTGAAAGGTGAATTTTGTTGCATATATGTAATTATAATAAAATATAGTATCATTTTAAATGATGTATTTATACATTCATGTGTTATCCAGCTACTGTTTTCCCATTGAGAGGTCAGTATGGTGTCAAAAAAAAATTTCTGCAGAGAAAGCAGAGTAGGAATGTAAGGCCTATGAAAGTTCAGTTCATTGGTTGGTGGCCACCCAGTAGACTGGGTTTTGAAATGCTTTGCAATGCATGAAGGAAATAAAGAAAAGTATGCAAGTGGAAAGACTCTTCACGGAAGGAGATTTTTAGGGAGAAGAAAGGGAAGAAAGGGAAGGGAAATAAAGGGAAATTATTATTCGGTGTAAGGCACCACATAGTTCACAGACTACAGGGTGGATACAGAAAGTTCAGTGATATCTGAAAAGCTTTCTATACTTTTTATGCTACTCTAAAGTCAGTTTCATTATTTTGCTATGGTTAGCGCCCAGCCTCTGCTTCTCACACTGAAGTCCCAGGAAGTTATAGGAAGGGACACCAAACAACATAAAGATTCCTTACTTGCATCTATTGGAACCTGCTCTAGGAAGTATTTTTGATCAGGGGGAAAAAAAAAAAAAAAGAAAAAAAAAAAAGAAAAAAAAAGATAAAGCAAGTATTGTATGGAACAGATAACATGTATTATCATTTTTATAGGTGCCACAGAAAATTATTTTGATGTGTTTGTGCTCCCTCTACTGGCTCTTCACCTTTCCCTGAAAGAAGAGGAAGTTCTGCTATTGATTTCAGCAGAAGCAGAAATGAGTTATAAAAGCCAGAAGCAGAAATGAGTTATAAAAGCCAGACTCTTCATAGGAATAATGCTGATAAATAGTCAGAAGCGATTGAGATAGTACTATGCAAACTGCCATCACATTTGAAAAGTAAATAGAATTATACAAGGTATAAGGAGATCCTGAATTTATCTTACTGCCTGGGTGAAGTCTTTCCTGAGGTGTGTTTGCTAATGATAGTATACTTAGCCATAAATTTAAACCTTGTTTGCAGAAGAAGAGTGATCAGAGGGCTCAGCAGGGATTCAAAATTTTTTCTGAAAACGTGCTTATACTGCATTTGGTGCCTTGTAAGTGGATGAAAGAAGCTACAGAGGGGGAAGGGAGGGAAGTACAAGACCAGTTTTGAAGAAGTTTTGAGAAAGTCATGGAGAATAATTGAGGAAATAAATAATGTAATAAAAAATTCCTTTTAGATGATCCTAGTTTAACTTTCAACTTGTCAATTCCTTGGCACCGAAGTACTACAGGAGAAAGTAGTGATTGCAAGTGATGATAGTAAGCTGCTGCTTGTTAGCTGAGTCACAATAATTGTAGCCTGTTTCAGTTGTGAAATAATGCAAGTTAGTGCTTACTTTTTGCCTGAAGACTTAAATGCCCTGGATATTATTTTCAATCAGCTTCACTTAGGTAGACTACGTGCTTTATTTGTTCATACAACTTTTTCGAACTTGACAGACTAAAGCTCAATGTCTCCTCATGGAAATGAATTCATAGATTACTTACATGAAACATGAAGCAGTGTTTCTTCTCTGTTGCAGTTAGGTTGCTTTTTAATGTAGGCAACCAATTCCTTTGTAATCCTATCGCTCTAGTTTTAAGGAATAAATAGGTGTTCTTGATCTGTGCTCTTTGAAGTGTCTACAGTAGGGAATGCTCCTCTTTAAAGTACACTGAGCCTCACTGTTTCCACTGTTTTCCAAAATTTTGCTAATCTAAGCAGCAGCACCTATGAGAATTCTCCTGCAAATTGTAATGGATTTCTAAAGAGGGCAGATGCTTGTGCTGCTGTTGTAGTCCGTGTCTTTTTTATCTCTGTTCATAAACAAGTTTTTCTTTGCCTTTAATATTTTTTTACTGTCCATCTCTCAACCGTTTCAATTTCCACAATAATCTCTTAGAGATTTTGTGATCAGAACTGAATGCCATGAACAGAGTGAGGATGCATCACTGATTTATATAATAACATTATAATATTTTCAGCATTATTCTCTGTTTTTATCTCAATGCATTCTATCAACCTGCTTTTTTTTTTTTCTAACTATCTCTACCCATTGAGCAGGTTTTTCAATAAGCAGATGTGTCCACCATGATATAACTTTGCTGCCTTGATTATTACCATGTGAGTCACTAAGATGATTCCTTTTTTCATGTGAATCACTTTTGCACCTACTCTGTATCTCATCTGTCATAATGCTCCCCTGGTGTATTGTAAGCAGATTCTGTAATTTGTTCATGATATTCTGTACTAACCTAAGAAGTTCACACATTTCTCTTGCTAATACAACTTCATTGCTGTTCTCTATCTTTTCTTGCTGCTTACAGCCATTCCACAAACTTTGTTATAAATCTTTGATCTCCACTTGTAGTCTGTTTACTTGAAAAAGAATGATTTATTCCTTTGTTTTGTTCTTCTTGCATTTGTAAACTTTTTATGTCTCATAATGGAAAAGTACCTTATAAACTTAACATGGGCACTTCCTCCATGCCTCTCAGGAGGCATTTTGTCAAAATATAGCACATATGGCTAAATGCCATTTTTTCAAATGAACATTTGAAAGAACATTTTTTCAAAGAACAGATGAGCTTTTCTTATTAACTTTTTAGTACTACTGTTTGCTACCAGATTTGAAAACCTTGTTTTAAGAAGTGCTTTTGTGCCTTGAACAACATCTGATTGCACCAACACCACTGACAGAAGAACTTGAACCAAGATTATTAGAGTCTCATAAGTGTCAGAAATACAAGAAAGGTTTCTTCTTGCATAATGTTATCCTTACAGCTTTTAGGTACTTGGTGAAGGCTAGTTAAATAGATTTCTCATAAAAATCTAATCATAAAATTACTAAATTTTACTTTTCATAAGTATTTGCTTGCCTACAGCACAGAAACAGTTTCTGCATATTATATAGTTCTCCAGTGCACCTCATCAAGAGGGTTCCGTTTCCTTCTTGCTGTTGTCTAGATTCATTAAATCTGGCTTGTAGTCCTAGTTGTCCTCAGATGCGTTTTATCTACACTGTCTGCCAGATCTTTTCATATTTCATTGTGTCTCATAACACTACTAGCTTTGGGCTTCTGCCAACTCTAACACAATAAAACAAGCTCCTAGGCAGCATTTTCTTACGTAGTTGGTTTCCCATCTTCATTGTCACTGGCTGTCGTGCTCCAGATCCAGTTGCTGAAAAGATAAAGCTCTCAGATGAGTCTGTGGTCATTTTTTGTACAGCTACTTTCCAAATCTCATGTCAAACGTTTTCTTTCTGCTGTCTCAACCTACCACATGCTCTACACCATCTCATTATCACAAATCCATGCAGTCTCTTGGTTTTCCTCTCTCCCATTAAAATCTAACCAGCTCACAAACATTTTTTCTCTGCTGCGGTCTTAGTACTTTGATACTGTCATGTTTTGTGAGAAATGAGCTCTTTTTGTTTCTGTTTGAACATAGCCAGTAAACTGTGCTATCTCAAACCAACTTTTTTTTTCTTCTCCTTTTTTAATGTATTGACTTCAAGTTATGAGGATGTCAATTTTCCTCACTTTTTCTCTGTTCCTCTATCATTAGCATCCTGCAATTCCATTTTATCTTTGGATAAAATACTAGAATTCAAAACTCAACAATACAAGTATCTATTTACTATATTGGATTTTCCTTGCCATAGCAGGAACACTTGACTTGTAACATAGGTCTGACTAGTTTTCTTTATGGCATCTACACTTGCCAATAAGATTTCACAAAAAAAAAAAAAAAAAAAAAAAAAAAAAAAAGCCAATATAACTGCACCACACCTTTGGGAATAGGAAGATATTGCTATACAACCTGTATCATTCTAAGGAACTGAGCCATAGAGAAAGTGAAACACTTCACTGTGGGAACATTGTTGATACCTTTGAATTGTGCACTTACCTATATAGTTTTATGTCTGTTACTGTAATTGTGACTTTATATCATTCCTGATAGGGGTCAGAAAAATGACTGGTGCACCTGATTTACATATAAGATTGTCTTCTACAGAAGCACATCTGTGTTCTCAACTCATTTTTGAGAGGCCAGAGACCTTCAACTACAGTGTGTGCTTTGAACAGAGTTTTGATCCCACAATAAGGCTTCAGATGGAAAGCTTACTGAGATGCTGCCAAAATCCTATTCCAGTTATGGTCACAGCACACCAGCACTTCTTTACTGTTTTCTTCATTTCGAGTTGAGCATTTGCATGGCCTGGGTGGACCCAAGCCGCTATCTTGTTCTAGTTTTCCAATGTAATGATCCTGTCAGTGTAAGCAATGTGCATGGAGGCTCCTTATGCTGTATTGTAGTATCATATACTATAATAAGAGAGGGATATTTATTAAGCATCAAGTAGCTTTCATATTCATTTACTTGAATTCAACTAAATTCACACGATGGGGTACCGTCCTCAGGCCACAGTGGAAACATTCTGTTAGAACTGCTGTGAAAACGATTTGGCATGATGTGTGTTGATATGTGTAATAGCTTGTTCTTTTAACTTGCTGGAAGATTTAAGAAAACGTTTTTGAAGCCCATGCCTGTTCATGCACCGTGAGTAGGTTTGAAGACAAATTTCTTCTGCCATGGTGTTTTCAAATCAAACGATGGCATTGGTACGCCACTACTATAATGCAAGGCATTATGGTGGCACTTCTAAGTACTTAGGAAAGTCTTCTTACATCAGTATTTTCTATGGACTTTTGTTTTTATTAGAGCTAATAAATGTATTTCCCTATGTAACATCAGAAATAACTTGGAATTACTTATTTGTAGCATCTTTGTGCAACCACTGCTAGTTTCTCATCTGGCCTTTTTGTTATACTTGTCTTTTTCACCTCTATCTTCTGTAATTTGTTGTGTTTCCTTGTCTCTCAGATGCACTTTTCACTGAATCATAGAAAAATAGGATTGGAGAGGACCCCAAAAGGTTGTGTAGTCCATCTCCTTCCCCTAGGCAGGATCAACTGTCCTTGCATCACTCTTGACAGCTGTTTGTCTAACTTATTCTCAAGAATCACCAGTGATGGAGATTCCCTGACATCTCAAGACAACTTAGGCCACTTCTCCTTAACATTAGAAAGTTCTTCCTAATGCCTGACCTTAGCCTCAGCTAATGCAATTTAAGACTGCTGCTTATTTCTCCCTTTCATTAGGGCCATAATTTGTCCTGGTTGGTTGTTTGTCCAGACTGTAAAAAAACCAGTAGCAGTTCTGTTAGAATACAGAGCAAGAGTCTCTCAAAGTTTCTTCATTTCCACTTAGCCTCTTTGTTGCATTGCAAACCCTCTTTCATTAAGTTATACAAAATTCCTTGTTACTCTGTTGCTTCCCTATAAGTTTCTGGATGTGCGGAGCAAATCCCTGGTCTCATCAGAGTTCCAGTCAACCATGCCAAGTTCAAGAATATATTACATACATAATTGAACAACAAAACTCAGTCTTACAGACCTAATTCATTCTTCTTTGTCATTATCTAGCAATACCACCTTCACTGTTGACAGCAGAATGTAAAACTGATGTAAGAGATAAGAATCAAGCCCTTTGCATTTTCCAGTTTATTCTTATAAAGTGTTATGCTGCACTTTATACTTCTCATATTTATCCTATTCCTCTCGCTGTAGTGTGCAAACATATATTCCTGCCAGATACTGATCAGTGTTGCATGCAGTCATCATTCTTGGCATGTCTACTATATCCACCTACACAGAATGGCACTTACAGCAACGGCTTCCGTAATTTCTGTGCCTCCTTCTGTCTTTCGATGGAAAATACACAACGGTCATAAATATAATTCATATCATATGTACATGTCCAAAATTGGGAAATGCCAGCTATTGCGAGTTTGAATTGATTCTGTCATCTGGAATCTAATTCATAATCTAATCGTTGCCTCTCCTTAAGGCTATTTCTGGAATGGAAATTATAGTGGATGAAAAGAGAGAGAGTATTTTAATGCAATTTCATGTCATAGATAACTATCATTGTTCTTTAAACAGGACATTTACAGCTTTACCATCACGTCTCTAAAACAGGGGATGTGCTGAAAATTATGTGGAGGCTCAAGATGGAATCCTCCCTTAGTCTCTGTTCAGGCCATAAGGTGACTCTTCAGCCTCTCCAACTCCTCTGCTCCCTTTTCTCTCACTAGCATTAAGTTACAGCCCAACAATCTGTAAATATCCCTTGTATACTGTTGTTGCCCCTAAGGTCACTATTCACGCAGACTTTACTCACCATAAAACTCTTTGCTCAGCTAAAATTCTTAGAATTCCATACATTTGTCCAAAGATTTCTGGAGGTCTGACAAGGAAACTGTCAAGCTTTTGGATTTCACAGTTATTTTACAAACATATTCATAAATGCAGTGTGCAATCCCTGCATTTGTACAGGGATTCAGATGTTTCCTAGATTTAACCAGCTTACTTTGCCTGTGCTACATGGTGATTGTGCCTGTGTGCTCCCTTTGCAGGGACAATTAGAGAAAGTACATCCATGTTGATGCTTCCTGGAGACATTAAGCTCACTGTGTTCATGCTCAGCAGTTGAACTTTCAGAATAATATCTGTATTGTGGCCCAGAAATGCTGCACATGCCATCTGTCTTTACATGACCATGTGTTTCTGCCTGAGAAATACTGATGGGAATTAGCACAGAACCATAAATAATTAAGGCTGGAAGGTCAGGGTTCAAGAGATTATCCAGTCCACTCCGCTGTTCCCCAGTGGAACAGCCATTCCTGTATTTGTCTAACATACTGCTAAACACTCTCATAAGAATGTCGTTAGTTGTCCCAGCAATGTATGCCAGTGCTTCACTGTCATGTTGGAAAGCTTTTCTCAGCATATGATTTGAATTTTCATGAGTATTGCACCTCATAAAATACAGGACAGACTCATTCTCCCTTCTTTTCACTAGCTCTGCCTTCTTCACAGCATTGTATGTGTTACAGACATCACTCCTGTTCACACAGCTCAGAATGGGAGTTACCTTTTCTTAATTTTCACAACACCACTGTTGGTGACATCCTCAAACTGAATTCTAATCTTGCATGTCAGCCTATCAAAAGCCCCTCCCAGTGTGGCATGGGCATGTAAATTTAGTCAGCATCTCCTCCGTCATCCAGGTCATTAGAAAAATACCAAATAGTGCAGAAACAGGCGAGACTTCTGTGAACGTGCGCTTCAGTTTCAACAGCGAGATAACCACCCCCTCAGTTTTGTTTTCCAACTACTTTTGCATTCATTCTGCAGCAGTTTCATCTAAACTATGTCTTCGTACATTATAAAGAATGTCACACGAGGGAGTGTCGAGAAACTTGTAAAGTCAAACCACCTACTGCTTTTTCCCTGTCCACAAGGCCAATTACCTTGTCTTACGGGGAGATCAGATTGGTTTGACACAGTTTGTTCCTAACAACCCATGTTGTCTGTTACTACCTTGTTTTCTTGCAGGTGCTTACAAATTGTTTGATTATTTTCTTCACTACTTTTCCAGGGGTTGAAGTTCAGTTGACTGGACTATAATTTTGCAGATCTTTCCTTTTAGATAGCCATTGCATTTGCTCCTCCACCCCTACAGATAAACACTAACATCTCTAAGCCTGTTCCAGCCAGTGTGGAAACATCTAGCTCATCTAAATACAGTATTTTTTTTCCCTCACCTAGGCAGAAATCTTTAGTTTTGTCAGAGAATCCCTCTGACAGCAGTCCCAGAGTCAAAATGGCTGCCATTTTCCAGTCCGATATCTGAAGACATCATTCGGGAGCGGTGTGGGCACAATGGATGGGACAGCCATTTCTGCAGCATTCAGGGGGAGCCAGCCTTCCTAGTGGGCTCCTTCTCTGTAAAAGTAGACGTTCCCAGCTGGAAACACTCTAATGATAAAATCTAGCCCTTAGTGATTTTTTTTTGCAGTTACACAGTGTTTGCATCAGAAACCTGGAATCCTTGCAATCAGCTTCTCAGCTACCATCCCTTTGATACAAAGCCCATTTTCTCTTTTGAAAGTTACTTTAAAATAACAAAAAAACTCAAGATAATGTTTTTGTTTATTGACCCCTAAGGAAGTCAGAATAGGCTGGACATGGACAGATAAATAATCTTCTGTAATATAAAAGGGTAGATTGAGGTTGCTTGCTTCGTTTTGTGTTGCATTGTTCCTTGTGGAAGATTAATAAATAAATAAATAGATAGATAGATAGATAAATAACTAAAAGGAGTTGTAATCGCTCAGTTCTTAGTCAGGCCCATAACAGGAAAAATATGATTAATTTATTCTTAAGTATGGAAATTCATCTTCTTAAGAATGGAAATTCTTAAGTATGGAAATTCATATTCTTAAGAATGGAAATTCATCGTCAAGGTGATCAAGGTGTGCCATACAATTTGTTGTCTACTTAGCATCAGTCATTTTTATGTGTTCTGGGAGCGTATTCTAGATAATTTGAGTACCACTAATGAATTCAGATCCTTTTCTGAATTTGTTCATTCAGTAAAACATCAAAAGTGAACAATTCCTTAGAATTCAAGAAATAGATTTCAATTACTGATTTTGGGCAAGGTCAAATAAGCCTTTATCTTTCTTCCTCCCTGAGAATGCAAATAACAGCTATTACTTAAAAGTGAAGCTTTTTAGTACATTTTTGCAATCTTTTTTCATCAATATCAAGAATCGACATAAAATAAAGGTTATAAAATAAAGGTCTACTAAGTACCAGCCAGCTACTGCATCAGAAGTATTCTGTAGTATAATTGGGCTCTGAAAAGGCTGTACTGAGTGACTAGAAGCCAGTTCAAAAATGTAACGTCTATTGTGTATCTTCACTACTACCCCTTGAATTAGCTGGAAGGTTTATGTAACAATCAGGAGCATGGAATTTTGGATTTCAACCCCACGTGAAAGTTTGTGATAGGCAGAAGAGATTCATGGTTCTTTGCTTTCTCCCAGAAAAGAACCAAAAACTACACTACTGCAAAATTTGTAAACAAAAATTTCTGAAGACAAATGCATCTGTCACAGTGCATCGTTTGCATTTACTGTGCTTGCTAGACATCTTTGACACAGTCTACATGTGATAGGTGTCTGTGTTTAAGGAAAGGACAATTCATCATTTGAGAATTAAAATTTCAGCATTTTAGTTTGTTTGCTAAATCCAAGGTTGGTAAATCCAATTATTCATTTCTGTAGGGAAATGAAGGGAAGTCCCCTACTTTACCTTCTCTTCCCCATCCCCACTTTACTTGGCCCTGGTCCAGCAGTATGAAAAGATGTGTCTGAAATAGTGCTGGTTTCTATGAAAACCTGTGTAGATAATAAAAGTCTGACTTCATGAGTCAGAGAACAGGTAAGAACATCTATTTATTAAATCAGAGTGCTTCTGGGAGCATCATAGATCTCTCACCACTCATTTCAAACAAGAATTTAGCTGCTAGTTATCTCATTAAACTGAAAAAATAGTTGAAAGTCAAAATGCAAAGGAGCTCAAATTTCTCCTGCTATAACACTGTCATCTGAACTGAGTCCATGGTATTTAATGCTCTTACGGGATTTGTACCCTGGAAATAGATGGGTGAAATGTTACACTGAGTTTCCTATTACTGCTTCATTTTCTAAATACCTATTTTTACATTTTAACATATAGCTCCATCAGCCCTCCCAGACGCAAGTGGGACAAGCAGCCTCACAGCCCAATCTCCTGCATTTGGCTCACAGTCAAGCATCTATGTCTCAAAGCCCAGTTCGTCAGGCTTCCTCTTCTTCCTCCTCATCCTCCTCTTCTTCAGCTTTGAGTGTTGGCCAGTTAGTCAGCAGTAAGTATTGCTCCCTGGCTCTCCTTGCTTCTCCACTCTGTTTGTCCTTCTCACTGCTGAGTTTCCTGATCTGCTTTCCTTACTTCTTTTATGTTTCCCGTGTATCAGATTGTATATTGCTAACTAGAGTAACTTGTACCAATAAAAACTCAGTGCTGTGACAGATGGGACTTAAGGTAAACATACCTTGAGGAATCACAAAAAAAATGCTTAATATGCACATAAAAATGGTAGCAGCTGTTAACTGACTTTGTTAACACTGGACAATTCTTAAAACTCGAATGTAGTTTACATTCTTCGCAAATGTGAATGTTTTAAATCAGTATAATGAATTACACTGCTTCATGTTTGGAGGGCAGCCCCTTCTACTTTCGGTTATTCTGCTTGTTTGTTAGTATTTGTTTGCTTAGTTATTGTAGCAAACTGTTTTACAAACCCTAGCATTAGATGAGAGACCTTTCTTGGCAGGAGAAGCTTATGCAGTTTGAGCAACTAAGAACTGTTAGATGTGGGAGAGAAAAGGATGCTGTGAACAGCTACCTTCAGTTTTGTTGTTAGGATTGTAATAGCTGACCTCTGACCAGCCCCTTCTTCCAGATCACACATTTCAGAGTCTTCACTATTGCCTGATTTGCTTTGGTCTTTATATAGCGAAAACAACAGGTTAGAAGTATGGATAAAAGCATTAACAATTTTTGGCACATCTGCCAATATCTATCAGTATTGCATGACTTCATTAGAAGAAAACTACGTGTGCAAATTTCAAATGAACAAATAGTGTAATTTGTGTTGTATTGCTAACGTGAAATGTATGGCTGATGCAAGCTAAGGAAGGGCTTGGAAAACATTTCAAAATCTTGGTTGGGTTACTTCAGAAATTGTTTGTATGGAGAAGTTACTAGCAGAACTATAGTGATAATATGGAGATAATATAGTGAGTGATAATATAGTGATAATATCATGATAATATGGGGGGGGGGGGTAGCTGGAGATAGGGACAGGGACTGCACCAGAGGGTGGTGGGCATGGAACAGGTCTGCCCAGGGCAGTGGCCATGGATTCAAGATGCTGGAGTTCAAGAAGAATGGTCTCAGACATAGGGTCTGATTTTTGGGTCACCAGGAGTTGGACTCAATGATCCCTATGAGTCCCTTCCAACTCAGGATATTCTATAATAAAATTTTGCTTGTGTAATTCCCAGTGTGAATATTTCTATTCTGGAACAAATACACCTCAATGGAGAGCTGTAGGTACATCAGATATATAGATATAGATATAATTATACTGAAATAAATACACTACTATAAAATTCTAGTTCTACTAGTAAATTTTCTCATGTAGACAAACTTGTAGAAAGAAGGCAAATAAGAAGCTTCACACTAAAAATACATAAGGTGATATCTTATCTATGTGGGAAAATTGACTAAAATAGCAAGTATAGAATAAAAACTATTTCTGGCTGGTCCAGAATAGTTTCCCTTGTAGACACTCTTGTAAAAAAAGATCTAGAATAACTATTGAGGGGTACTCTAAACCTCAATAGATGTTCCAGTGAATTTCCCCATATGGGTAAGCATCCTACACAATAAAAATAACATGGAAGAAGCCCTTTTAACTTCATAACATAAATCACTCAGACGTTAGGAAATGCTAGAAAAAGAGTAGTTTGGGCAACTGTATCTAGCTCCTCTTTGAACACGTATTTTTTAATAACCAAGTATATAGTGATTAACATCACAGAATCACTTTTTTCTCATCCTTCATTCTGTGAATTTCCAATGGCATTTTTCAAAGGATGAATCACACAGTAAGGAAAGCTTTTGTCCCAGCATTTATTCTCTATCTGGCTCATGAAACTGTTCCCCTGTTTGTGTGTAACATTTGAGGTAGGGACTTGAAGGGCAAAAGGCGGTCTTGCTTCTGGCAGCAGAGGGCTGAATAGTTGTAGATCTATCTACCACATAATTGTGGTGCAATTGCAGGCAAGTCACTTGCAACTGATTTTTCCACAAGTGCTCCCTCAATTTCCAGCTTGAAACTCCTGACTTTAATTTACAGAAGAACCTGGTACTCGCAGTTACAATTCAAAGTGCACTTCCACTGTGGAACTGTATAAAGAACCATTTAAAGTCACGGTCTAAAAATTCATCTTCTGCTTGACCTTGACAGGGTAGCTAAAAATGCCTTTTGCCTTAATATCTGCCCACTTGTCTGTGAATGAGAAGGAGAAGACCCTCATCTTGTAGAAACACAAGGAAATAAATTAAGATTTCAAAAAATCTAGAAGCTCAAGAGGAAACGAATAACTATGCCTTTGGTGAAGAGCTTTAGCAGAGGTCTAGGGCCACCCACTGAAGAAGTAAAAAGACTTCAATCACTTTCTCCATAATGAAGTACATTCATCTTGTGCACTGGAGAAGACAGGAATCTGTGGAAAAAAACTGGTCTGGTACTCAGACAAGGATGGTAGGCTACTGTTGTCCTACTATTCTGTAACTTTTCAGTGTTTATTTATATGACTCTAAGGCTGTTCTCTTAACTTCATTTTTTATTTGGATATATTTCAAGGCTTTAACAAAAGCAGAATAGTAACATAAGTCAGTTATTTGGCGAGATTATATTTCTACCTGGAGATATGAGATCTTCTGTCAGATGAATGGATGAAGAAGCTGATAGGTTGTGTTATCATCTTATTTTCCTATTCTAAAAGGGAATGAAATGTGCTGTGTTCATGGAGGCAGAGGCATACAAGACATAGGATTATCAGTTTGGTTGAATGGGGAAGATGCTTTAATGAATATAGGCCTTTTTCACTCATTCCTCTCAAACTTGATTCCCGTAGTACTTGTTCTGCTCCACTCTCATTACCTCCTCACATTGTTCTCCACATATCTGCATTCCCAGGGCCTCAGTACTTCTTTTCCTCAGCCATCTCCTTTCCGTACTTTCCACATCATCCATGAACCCTCATTTCCTCTTCTCATTTCAGTCCTCTTCCAGCTCCTATTTGGCCTCTGTCCCTAGGTCATCTCTGCATCCTTTCTACCATCTAATCAACGTAATCTCCTGCCTTGCTTTATCACAAGTGCTTCCTCTTTTCTCCCCTAATTTCTGTCCTCTGCCCAAGTGACTCCTACTTTCTTCTCTGCACGATCAGGCTATCCCTTCTTCAGATCCAAGTTCATATCTCTGCCTCTTAACAGTCTTCATCTTCCATCATTTCTTTTTCTTCAGATTCAAGGTTAATTATTGCCCCCTTTGCATCTAAATCTACTCCAGCCCTCCCTGAAAGCCATTGGAAGATTGTGGAAAATGATCACCAGGAAGAAAGGCAATTTGGTCTCCCTATCCTTACTGCCATCCTGGCCTACAGCAAGTGCCACAACCACAGCAGGAGGAGTTCTTCTCCATATTCTCTAGTCCTAGGCTCAGTACAGAGAAAACCTCAAAGGAGATTCTACACAGAGGTCTAACAATTCTCTATTGAGGAAACAGGAATTTTGGAGGCTCACTTGCCTGGACTTACTTGAGACAGTTTTTTATTCGAGATGGCTAGAACTCCATTACTGTCTTAAATATTAACTTTCTGACAGCTATCAAGGTGGTGAATCAAGAACTGAAGGTTATAAAACAACTGAAATTGTTACAATTTTTTTCTTTTTTTCATCCTAGGCAAAACAGCATGTTTTATTAACCTAGTTTTCAGAAATGGCTGAGCTGAAATTTGTCTTATATTGCAAATGCCAAGCAAAATTGGCCTTATTGAATACCCTGCCAGTGAGAATGAATAGCACTGAGAAGATACTTGGAGTGCTTCTTCCTTGTTCAAACCTCAAGAAAGTTAAATGAACAGGTGGGAAACTTGGGGTGAAGAATATACATTTCACACGTTTATACTGACGGATGAGACTTGGATCTTAAGAGTGTTCCAAAGGGAGAGGGCATTCACAGAAATTCCCTGTAAAAACTGTGGCAATGATTATGCAGGAATAAGAAGTTTGGGCATTGATCTTGTAAATTTATTTTTCAGGCTTCATTCAGTCCCAAGTACCCAACAGAGCACGTAATGTGAGGGAAATATCAGTACATTTCTGCCATTTTTGCGTAGAGTTCTCACATGCTCAGAAATCAGAGAGATACTTGATAGTTGTCCAGCATATTCTACACAGCATAGCAAACCACAAACTGGAGTGTTTGCTGCTACTTCAGTAGCTAAATAATTGCTTGAGGCAAGATTGTGCACACCTGCTAAAAGAATAACTCTACAAGAGGTCATGCCACATCTCTGAAATTACTAAGAGACCATGAGAAACAAGTCAGGATTGGGCTTGAATAACTTTACTGTTCCATGCTCTGTTTCAATTCCTTTCACTCTTCATTCTGATCAAGAATCAGATCTGATCATTTTCCTGTATTTATTAGCAATTATTTTTTGCAATTTTTTAAAAAAATATTTTCTAATTAAAAAAAAAAAAATCATTTATCTCTTACTACTTCTCTTCATCTGTTTTATACATTTATTCCTCCTGCGATGCCCTGTATTTTTTTTTTATTTACCCTTCTTTCTTCTTAAGTTTCTTGACTTTTTATTTCTTGACCTGTCTCACGCTTCATAGCTTTTCCCTTTTGTCTTATCCTCACCTCATCATCCTTCACCATCAACCAATGCTAGTTCTTCTTAATACGTATAATTATGATTACTACCAGAGAAAGAACATTTTAAAAGATGGTCTGCCTAGATGGCTGCAAGATTCATTTCCATTCTTCATGTCCCTTTTGTGCAATTTCTTTGTATTGTCTTATCCCATCTCTGTTCTCTTTATTCTTCTTTGTTTTCTCTTCACTTAACTCTATATTACCATCCCTCATTTTATATGGTATTTAATTTTTCTGTTCTCAGATATATCCCTCTTCTCATTTCTTACCTTTTCTAGCATAGGTTTTATTTGTGGAAATCACTTTCTTCCCCTCATATTCTGGGACGTGGGTCTCAATGACATTCCTTTTTTCTTTCCAAATTCATTTTACTGTCATCTGATACTATAAAATTAAAACCCTTCTCACATACAAATTATTCTTCTCTTTCCCCTGAGCTCCACTATATTTCCCATTAACAGTGCTTTGTCCTGCCTCTATCATCCACATTATATTTCGTTGGCTTTTCTCTGCCAGCTCTTTCTCCTCCTGTCTGACCGGGGATACCAACCCCTGTAATCCCTTCCACAGCAGAACTCTACACTACAGAAATTTGCTTTCTCCTTTGGAGTGCAACTCCTTCCTATCACCAGAGAATTTGCAAGCATTGGAAACTCATAGAACGTTCATATTAGAATTCAGAAGTGGGAGGGAAGTAGTATTCCCTTCAGTTTTTAGGAAATTTTTAGTACAGAAGAACCCATGGATTTTTTTCTTCTGCTCTGCTTGTCCACCTTCTCTATCCACCAGGACATTCGGTGGAATCTTAGTTGGACTTCTTTTTGTTCTTTTGCTCTATGTATGTTTCATGTAGTAGTCCCAGAAAACTCTCGTCTTTTTCCAGGGCCTATTAGTTTCACAAACATAACAATCATAGAGTATGAAGCCATAATATACATTTGGAATCTTCACTCTAAATATTGTTACTGTAGATCCTAACCACTTAGTGAGATTGGCATTCTTCATTTTCCTCTTGTCTCTGTACAGTCTTTTGCAAGTGTATAATCGAAGAATATCAGGCTGTTATAATCACAAAATAAACAAGAGGGTGAGGCAAAGTAGGCTATGATAACAATAGAGAACAAATGGAAGGCATACCCTTATTCTGGGCTCACCCACAAAACACCAGTAGAGGCAATCCCCAGAAAAGATCCTTCCCCACTGGTAGCCAGCTCTTAAATAGGTCTATTGCCTCTTAAGTAGGTGAATTGCCTTCACCTGTGCTCCTTTGGCTGACTCATGGCTCATCTCAGGTGATCAATCAGAGGTTCAGGCCGTGACTCAGCAGTTCCCATACAGCAAGAAATCCACTTAATTTAAAAAGTACCAGTTTAATTGCAGTCTTCAATCAACAACTCTTCCTAAAATGTGAAGTAAACTCTACACTTAACTGTTTTGAAAGATTAAAACGTATTGAAACCAAGTCCATTACTTATTTGATTATATTTTTGCATATGGATAAATTAGTCCACAAAGTCCAAGATTATGTATTGATGATATTTTAATGACAATAGAATAAAACAGATAGGTGATGTTACATGATGATATCAGTAGAGAGGGCTTCATAGTACTACTTGAGTAGTATGGAGCTGATAGAAATCAAGGGACTACTTCTATGGTTTTCAAATGGCTTTGAATCATACCTGCAGTAGAAGTGTTTCTGATTTGATAGAAACACTGTTTTCCCTTGAGTGCAGAGATAAAAGGCTTCAGCATTTGTGTCCACCTCTGTAAGCACTTTCCTTCTCCCAAAGATACTATATAAGAATGAAGCCTCTTTCTCAACAGATACTGCACCATAAATAAAGATGTACTTCCGTATTCCTGAAGTACATCACAGGGGTTCTTTCATCATGTTTAGGAGAGCTCTGTCCAATTTCTCTCTTGTCCAAGATCCCTGTGCAGGAAAGGACTTCCCAAGATACTTAGTGTTGTAACAATGTCATACCAGAAGAATTCAGCAGAACTTGGAAGAACTTCTATGTAAACATGAGCAAGCATAGAATCCCTTAGGTTTCTTACCTCCCTCTATATTCCTAACAGTAATTCAGGGGGCTGGAGCACTACAGGTGACAGCAGCAATAAAGTTTGCTAATTCAAGCATTCTCTGGGAACATCTGAACTGTGCTTTGTAACATCCCTCTAGTCAGAGGCCTTAAAATGCAGAAAAGAGGTGAGAAAACTCACTGTCTTAGTGCCCTTTACAAAAGTGAATCTGAGGTCATTATCATTTATGAGATTTTGTAAATTTATCTGTTGCCATCCAGAGAACCAAAGGGCTGATAAGCAACCAGCTCCACTCTGTGCTTATGAAAATCACATCTGGTATGAGAGGTAGACTGTGTATAGGATGAGGAGGAACATTTCACGTCCACAAAGGCAATTACTTTAAAAACCAAGTAGCCCTACCTTAGCCTCCCACTACTTATAAGTAAATATGTTTCCTAACTTTATACAATTTGAGTGCACTGATGTGTGTACAGATGCTGTACCATACTGACAGGATGAGTGTTGAGTATTGCCAACATGAGGTTCAGCCTTTACGTTTGTTTACCTGTACTCTTAGTTCACGTGGTTCCTGACTATATATATGTGTATTCTAAAATTGCTACACAAGCTTTTATCAATCAGTCTTCAAATCAATATAGGATAAGTTCATAGCAGAGAAGTCTCTTCCTTCTGTCTCTATTATTGGACTGAAAGATTTCTTATAGGACATTTCCACCATAAGGGAATTTTACATCAGGTTTGTAAGCCACTGAAAATAAAATTGTTGTTGCTGTAATGCTGACATGCCCTTAGCTGTAGCAGCACTAGCAGGAGCCAGGGTAATATAGGGTTCAAAATAGTAACGCAGGCTAGCATTGTCCTTGGACAACTGCTTGTATTTACAGAAATTGATGGGTTATTGTGCTGCAAACTTTTCACCTAAGAAGTCTGAGAAATGAGGTGAAGAACAATAGAGATATCTCGCTGGGAGAATGGCTTCACTACACGCAGTATTGCACAACACTTTGAAATCTTCCACCATCCAAGTCCCATGCTGTCTCTGGCTTGGCAAACGCTTTCATTTAGCCAGGGATCAGTAGCTTGGGGAGAAAAAAGTTCCATTCTCCAGCTGTTGTGTCATCTCCCTTGATAAGTCCTAAATTGGCTGAGTTATCCAGCACCAAAGGAGCTTTTCTGCGGTAGACATGCTTTATTATGTGCCCTTTCAGGGACAAAGGCTTCTGTGTCAGTAAAACCACTATGGAGAGCGAGGACAGATTTACTCTCACAGCATCATAAGCATTATCTTCTGAGGGGCTAATGTAAAAGTAAAAAATTGTGCAGCATTACCATCCAAAGCCTAATGGCTGATGTTGCAAATACACCGCTCCTTGATTATCAGCCTGATGGGAGGCAGAAGGAAAACTGAAAGGCTGCTTTTCACAAGGGCGTATTTTGAAATACGATTTTTAAATGAGGAAGGGTGTGCTTTTTGTTTGAGCTTGTTCTTTTGATGGGTTAGTTTGGGTGTTTGACTAGTGGTTTGGGCTGAGTATTGTAGAATAGGGAAGGAAGGTTTGTAAATCTCCTTATTTGACAGTTATTTTAGATGAAATGGAAAGTCTTGCTTTCAAGTTAAAAACCCAAGCAGTTTGTGTGTGTGTTTTGCACTCCCCACAGACTGCAAATAAATACGTTGACAGAAGCCTGTCTTGTGCATGCAGTGAGAAGGGGGAACAGGGAACGTGACTTGTCAGAAGTGGGAGGAAAGATTGTGAAGCCCAGATGGCAGTGAGGACCCCAGCCAACCCCTCGCGCTGAGGGGAGCTTGCCCATTTTTCAGGAATTCAGCAATGATGTCTTTGAACATCTTTCACCACCACCTGGAAGCATTGCTGCTTTGTTAGATTTTAGCAACCTGAACACCCTTTATAACACACCTGGCAAAGCGAGCCCGCTTCTGTTTATGGGAGAAAGAGACAAGTACCGAAAAATAAATTAACATGACAGTGAAATATATGGTGTAAGCCATAACCCACTCATACATGACGTGAAGAACTGACACAATTCAAAAAATATTTCAACAGATCCTCAAACAGCCACTGGAGAAGTGGATGGGGTGAATCTGGAAGAAATCCGAGAATTTGCCAAAGCTTTTAAAATCCGGCGCCTGTCCCTTGGCCTGACCCAGACTCAAGTTGGCCAAGCCCTAAGCGCCACTGAAGGCCCAGCCTATAGCCAGTCTGCCATCTGCAGGTAACAAGTTACATCATAAACTCTCCTCTCCTCTCTTTGTTCTTCAGAATTATTCAGTTTATCGTGAGGAGCATGCTCAGGTTGGAGTCATATCTTTTTAGAATGTGTTATTTTTTTCAGGGATTTAAACTCACCGATATGTTGGTATCTTGGCAGATAAGATGTTCTTCTTGTGTAGCCCTCAAGTAACTTTGGTCTTTTTTTTTTCCCCCCTTCTACATTCTTTTTTTTTTTTTTTTTTTTTTTTCTTCCCTTCTACTTTTTGAACAAGTGAGAAACAATGTTCCTAGCATAGAGACTTAATTCAGTAGACAAGTTGGAAACCCTGCTGGTGCTGGATAAGCACCAGCTGACCCTCTTCATACTGTGCCATTTTCTACAGATAGGGTTACTGAACAAATATTTCATGGCTGCACCCCTGCTAAGTTAAAACCTGTATTACTGTGGTTAGCACTTCGTATATAGGATGTTAATGATTTAACTAGGCAACACAGAAGGGAAAAAAGTATCTTTCCTGCTATCTTGCAAATCAGCAGCTATTCATCTTTTATCACCTAAATATATATTAATAAATAAGTAATTAATTAAAAAATAACAGACAACCCATGAATGCAAAGCAGGACTAGAAATGTGCCCTAATCATGGGAAATAGTAATACAGTCGTGACAGAGTTAGTTAGAAGCAAACACCGTACATGCATGTATGTGTGTTACAGTAATGCCATGTTTATGCATGAGATAACAAACACACTTAGGTAACAGCTTTTTCCTCTTGGGCAATGCCTTATAGTCCTACTCCATCAGTGAAAGCCAAGAAACCAACTCTAAGCTCATTTAAGTGGATTTTGTTCTTGGTGATCCATGAAATGTTCTGTCTTTTTATCTGCTCTTTATACTTTTAATGTATTCCCCATAGAACGGAAGTGTACTTTTCCTGCAGTTTAAGACTAAGGTTATAAATAACATCAGTATGGGGTAGTGAGCTTGCAGCTCACATTTTGCTCAATGATTTTCCATAAAACCCATTGATTGTTGTTAAATACAAAAAGCTCCATAGGATCCTCTCACTTCTATGGCCTCCCCTACTGTTTTTTCTTATAAGATACCTCCCTGTAGAAAATAACCTTTATTCAGTCTATACAAGGATACTACTGCTGGGAAATTTGTTTCAAGACTTGTATATCGTTATTCCAAACAACATGTTCTGCAGTATCAACACTAACAAGCAAAGCCAATGATACGAATGCTATTGCTCCCTGTTGCTTAAGTTTTTTTTCTTTCTTATGGTCAGTTGGTAAAGAATGCCTAATACAGGTGGAGTTTTGGCAATTCCCAATTTGTAGCCTGAAGATACTCTTTAATAAACAATACTTCTAAGTGATAAATTGCAGTTCCTTTTGCCTATGCCTAATTTGCCGTCTCCTAATTTCCTCAATCTACCTCATGCCTGAGAAAACCAGTGGGGATTGTTGAATTTTACTAAGCAAAAGGGTTCTTCGCTAATGTATTATCATGAAAACCCAAATAAAGAGGAAATTGGAGCATAGACACAGCTAAGTAAAGCCAAGACATATGGAAGCCTTTGACAAAGGGCAAATTTTGCCACATTTGAGGGGTAAATGGGTAAATGGCTAAGAACAACACGACTGGATGCAGAAGTTGGTCCCAGATATTTGCAAAGTAATAGTGGTTTTTCTTTCCTTTGACCCCTAAGGATGGCTATCATTTGGGGGTGTAATAATCTGCTATGACTATGCATTTCTTGTTAGACACCACGTTATTATGTTCCAGTGGCAGTATGCTGCTACTCAGAAGTAGAAGTTTCAACATTTCTTTTAATGTTAACAAAGGAGATTCAATGGAAAGAGCAGCAACGAAATCAAGCTGAACGACCAACATGACCCAAATATCACTGGGTGCCAAGGATGGACACCTTGCAGCCAGTCCCACACTAGGATGCCAGGCGTGTTATTATTTGAAATTATTATTATTTCGTCTCTTTTTTTGTTTGTGGGAAATGCTTTGTTTGTTGCTGAAGTATTTCCTGCAGCTGCCATGCGCCAAACAGAGTCTCTTAAAGCTGCCAACTCCAGCCATTGAGTTGCTTTGCACCAAGATATTGACTCAGCCAGTCTCATCTCCCATGCACAGCGTGATCAGCTGTGGCAGTGGTGCTCGAGTACTGGGAAAGCTGGAGAGGGCAGCAGCACCAGGCAGTAACTGTCTCCTGGATTAAATATGTCAGCGTGTGGGAGGGACGTGGGTGAAGTAGAGAAATATGAATGGGTGGCATCAGACGAATTGGGCGTAGACATTTTTAATGCATAGTAAGAGAGTATGAACCTGACAAATAAAAGAAACAAAAACTTACATGGCTTGAAGAATGAACTCAGCTCTTCTGCTTGTTTATGAAAAGATGAAAGCTTTGTGTAGCTGCTTTTCCAGATGTCTTATAATACTTGTAAAATCTGGTTTGGCAAAAGACTTTTGATGGCAAAATGATATATAGAAGACCTCATTTACAGGAAATGATATCATTCTGGTACGGGTTGTAGAAATCCCACAATAAACCCAGCTTGGTGCCACAGCATATTAGTAGACTATTATGCTGGGTTTCATCTGGAAAACATGAGTCTGTCTTTGCACGTTGTGGGGGTAGTGAAGATAATTGCAAAGCATCCAGCTGTTTCAGCCGGACACCACTGGAGCTACGGGAATCTGTTTCGGACGCAGAAAAAGGATATAGTGTTAACTTGCAAACGGTGAAAATTGCTGAAAAATGAAAGGAAAGTAAATGTGATATTCAGAGGCTAGTAGCTGCCATTGGTTTGTGTTATTAAAGCTGTGGTATTTGGACCAGATGGGATGGGAAGGGAAACAAAGGGATTAATCGCAAAGAAGAGACGATAAAAAGCAATTGCCTTCGATGTCATTTCCTGTAATTAGATTTTAACCTGAAGGGTTTTGAAGATCGTCAGAAATATGAAAATGGGAGTCATAACCTGTATTATTCAGCGTGCTTAGAATTTTGTTGTAGTATTTGTTTTGTGATAGTTTAAATATCTGGCTATATATATATTAATGGATATAGATATCTGTTAGTTTTGGTAATCCATTGTAAATTATCTCTGCCAGTCAATTAGTCAGGCAGGCAGGAAGTCCCACCCTGGCAGAGCATCAGTGTAAGACTCTTCTTTCTCAATTTTCCCTCAGACACACCATCCTGAGAAGCCACTTTTTCCTACCACAGGAAGCCCAAGAGAACACTATAGCTAGCAGTCTGACAGCCAAACTGAACCCTGGCCTTTTGTATCCTGCCAGGTTTGAAAAGCTGGACATCACCCCTAAAAGTGCCCAGAAGATAAAGCCGGTGCTTGAGCGGTGGATGGCTGAGGCTGAGGCCCGCCATCGAGCAGGTATGCAGAACCTTACCGAGTTTATCGGAAGTGAACCATCCAAAAAGCGCAAGAGGCGTACCTCATTCACGCCACAGGCCCTTGAGATCTTGAATGCTCACTTTGAGAAGAACACGCACCCCTCTGGGCAGGAAATGACAGAGATTGCAGAGAAACTGAACTATGACCGGGAAGTAGTTAGAGTTTGGTTCTGCAATAAGAGGCAAGCACTGAAGAACACAATTAAACGTTTGAAACAGCATGAGCCTGCGACAGCAGTTCCTATGGAGCCCTTAACAGACTCACTGGAAGAAAACTCCTAAAAACAAAGCAAAACAAAACCACACACAAAAAAACCCTGCACCGACAGAAACCTAACCATTCGAACTCTGTGAAAATACCTGTTCATCACCCTTGTAAGTAAATGACTGAGAAAACTACAAGAAGGACAGAACAGTTTATAAATGTCCGTGAGTTTTCCTATATAAAAACAAAACAAAGAACTGCACAACACTTAGCGTGTGTGTCGTAGAATTAGTTCCCCAGAAAAAGAAAAAGCCAGTTGTTTTTTTTTGTTGTTTTTTTTTAATGGACTTAAAGTAAACCAAATAACTGCTGACTTTTTTCTGTATATTATGAAAATGTGAACACATTTTAAGGAAAAAAAAAAAAAGAAAACACGCCAAAAAAAAAAAAAAAAAAAAAAAAAAAAAAAAAAAAACCTTTTATCTGTTTAAAAGAGAATACAAGCCTGCCACCTGGAGGAGTGATTGTAGCCTTTCAGGTATCAAGTGCTGATTCACTAAGAAAACTATTAACCAAAGTCAGAAACATGGAATTGCAAACTAGATTGTTAGTCTACTCTTTTAATGGTGTAAATCTGTGTTACGAATTTTTACATTTGTATTTTACAAAGAGGAAAACAACAGGATTAATTTCTCTCATCCATGGTCACACCCCTGCAGGTGTGTAAAACAGGTGTCAAAGCCATTCCATCATGGTCACCTCCTTTTCTTTTGTTTGTTTTTAGCTGACAGTTATGCAATCTCCAAGTGTTTGGGTGCCAAAAAATCATTTTTTTAATTGTGATTTGCAGGGTTTGGTATTTGTCTTCTAAGGGCGTAAATCTCAGTTGGCATTTCTACTTTTGATTTTTTTTTTATTTAATGACTCTTTTTGCTGCCTTCAGCTCATTCTCCACCCTTTCCCTACAATCCCATAACCCAGTACTGTTTGAAGATATTTAGAAAGAGAAGTGCGACCTGAACACTTTCATACCCATATGCTGAACTACAATAGAGGACAAAGGATTAAGATTGTGTCTGATAAACTGGCAGCCCATTGTCAGCTGCATAGCTTGGGATTTCTCAGTCCTTTAGTTAAGAACCTTGAGAGGCTACCAAAATTCATTTGTAGTATGAACATAAACTGCACACTTGGCACAGTACTGTGTCTTTATCAAGGCTCTGTTTGAAGCAATTTTCTCTCCAAAGTCTGCTAGCCAAAGAAATTTCCTGAGATTCTGATGGAAACAGACAGACAGGCCAAGAAGTGATGAGGGTGTTCTGATCGTTGTGTTACTGTGGCCTGCCTCAGTGGCAGTGCTTCATTTCTTCTGCTTTTTTATTTATTTATTTTCATCCTGATATAGATGTTTGCCCACTGTCAGGATATAGGAAAACCTACTGAATATCTTTTGGGGATAGTGAGGTTGGTGACCTGCAATATGTTTCAGATGAGGAGCTTTCTCTTTAAAGACAATTTGTTTCTATAACTTCCATTTTGATAGGGCAGATGTCTGCTAAAGCACTGTGGACACTGGACATAGGAGCATGAGAAGGCTCATGAGAGAAAAGTGTTGCTGGTTCTAGGTGGGCTGCATCCTGGTCCATGAAGGTCACCGTGATTTTCATCTTGTGATGAAAGCTGCTCCAGCCTATGAGATTCAGCCTATTACTAGGATGGAAGTTACGTCTTAAGCAGAGCTTACCAAAACTTAGCCTTTGCTATTTGGTCCTCGCTGTAGGGATGATAGAGTAAAATTCTGCTGGTGTAACTTTTGCATGCGTTCACTGACTTCAGGGTTGTTGTACTGGACTTTTGCTAACCTGCCCAGGATGCTGAAGAAGGCTCCCAAAGTGCTGGAGTCTACAAATAGCACATCTCATACAGAATTATGTTTTCAAGAACTCAAGGCTATATCCAAAACACAGTGAAAGAAAGACTTCCATTGATTTAACTGGGCTTTGAATCTAGCCCCTGCTATTTTATTAATGGGATTTGCCATGTAACGTGGAGTGTTTGTTTCATTACTGGTGGAGTTTCAAAGCTTCTGAGGCTATCATCTGTGCCAGAAACTGCATCTAAATGTGAGCACTCTCAAAGGTCAGGGTTGGAGAGCGCTGAAGTATTCAGTACTCCAGACTGGGCTCGTATCCAGTGAATGCATCCTAGACTTCAAGCTTCAGCGGGGTATGTTTAAGGATATTTTCAGTATTGCTTTTATGGGAGGAGAGTGAGAATTGTTATTGACTGTTTTCCAACTATTGATATATAAACATCTTCTGGGAAAAAAAAAAATAATAATATAAAATAAAATAAAAAAAAAAACCCTCAGTAGCCACAGGTAAACTGTGCAAGGGCCAAAAAAGCCACTTTACCCAAGCTAAGCATGTGAAGTAGAGAGCAGCAACATCTGCCCCTCTGGGTTACCTTTTTTCCCCTCTATTCACAGGCACCAATTTCCATGGATATATCTGTTTACCTATACTGAACAGAGCTAAACGTACAGCCACAATTCAATTTACATAATGATCAGGAGACCACCCAGAAATGAGGAGGGAAAAACAGTATTTGGAATTGGACACCCTACCCACATCTCCAGCACATGACTAATTGTCTGGCCATTGATGCCATAAACATTTTACTTGTTCATCCACCCTTGAGAGCATCTGCCCATCCCTCATGCCAGTCATCAACAGCCTGGGAACAAAACCATCCAACCATTTGTTGCCTAAAAACAAAATTTCTGATTCTCCCAGAGACTGCTCTAAATTTTGTGATGAAAAAAATCTCCCAAGAAGAAAAGTTAACTAAACAGCATACGAAAGATACTAAATGTTTAAAAATGTGCTGGCGGTGGTTATATAAGGTCTTTTCTGTTCCAAAGTACATATCAGAGGGATATAACTAGGACAGTGAAAATGTGAAATAAATATAAATCGCCAGCTTGGAAGAAAAAATGGTGTTCATCCCAGAGTCTTCAAGTCATTCATGTGCAGAGTTTTTTTTACAGTTTTCTAATTTTATATTATGTTTTGTAAATTATTTATAAAGTGTTGTAATGCTTCTTATATTCATTTTTTTATAAACAAATTTTTGCTATGAGGCATAAATGGTGCCTGAACAGATTCTTAGGAAGATAAATTACATGTGAATCATACATCTTTCGGGGGCCATAAATATTTTGTTTTGTTTCGTTACTGGCAACATTTCTGGATTCCATTTGTAAACAATTTTCATCTATTGATTACATTTGAATACCTTTTAATTTTGCATGTGACTAAAAGATAGATTGCTACCAGCAAATAAAACAGAAGTCTCTTCAGTCATGTGTGAAGGTTTAATGGCTTTCCAATTTATTGATCATTGAATTTTTTTATATATATATATATATATAAAATTATCATTTGAATAATGAACCAAGGGTTCAATTACAGATATGATTTTTGTCTTTTTAAGTTTTTTTTTCACTCAAAAGCTGTTTTGGACAGTTGAAGAAATCCAATGCGTTCAAATGGTTCCAGTTTCTTTATGTTATTAACAAAATAAAAAAGAAAAAAAAAGAAGAAAAAAAAAGTAGAGAGAACAAGAACGCAAAAAGGAGCTAGGAAGGAACAAGTAGAGGCGTATCAAAGAACTCAAGCTATAACCAAAAAGAAATATGTAAAATGCCTTTGCTCGTCTTCTCAATGCTGGACCAAAGCTCAATGTATGTAGGTATATGCACATTGTATAGATATGGCTAAATGTTGCTGACAATCTCGCAATACTAAACTGTTACTATTTAAAAAAAAAAAAAAAAAAAAAAAAAAAAAAGAAGTACAAAAATAAAACTGTTCATCAGTGTTTTACCTCAGCACTCTACTTGTACCCAGTTATTGACCAACATTCAAACAAGAAGATAAGAGCGGAAATTAATTTCCATGTCAATGTTTGACTGTAAAATCTGTTTGGATAACATTTTGTAATGAGCTTTTTGTCATGTGGTTTGCTTGTTTCCAACTTGAGATTATGTGGGCACATTTGTTTATTTATTGTTAAAAAGTGATATTATTATTACTACTATTATTATTATTATTATTATTATTTTTTGTCCTATGTGCTATAATCTACAGAATGGTCACCAGGGTCACTTATGAAGCACTGCAAAGAGATCTGTTTTTCCATGCATGGGGCATGCAGAGGAAAGATGGCAGTATGAAACGGACTGTGTTTTGTTGCTAAAAAGTACTAATTAATTCCAAAAGGAGTTGGCGTGGTGGACTTGTGACCGAGAAACCAAACTGGATATTTAAAAGCTCCTTACTACTCTGACTTTGAAACCAAAGCTGATTTATCTGCACAGGTTGCTTAACATGAAAATAAATAAATAAATAAATAAACTGACAAAAACTGTACTTAATCTAGAGCAATATCTGTATGGTCAGTAAAGCTGCACTTTGTGTATTTCTTAACAGCTTCAGATCTGTCACTTTTAATTTGTACCATAAAAAATAAAGAATTGTTTGACATGAAAAATAAACTTTCATGTGTTTGTCTTAAATCTCATGTATTATTCACATGATCAGAGTTCATGTAATTTCGCATCAGTTCAATACAAAAATAGTTAAAAGCTTAAAGAAAAAAAAGGAAGAAAGAAAATATGTTTGCACCACTGGGCATCACTCCATCTGCAAAACTAGGAATGTTTCTATATCCAGAGAGGGCGCCTACACTGGTGATGTCTTCTTTTCTCCACAGATAAGCAGAGCAGAGGATCTACAGATGGAATACTGTGGGATCAGGTAAGTGAGTGTGTGCTATAGCCCAGGCCAACAGCAGCAGAGCACAGATGGGCACGAAGTCCCCAGCCAGTGAATCTCTCAGTTCTGCTGTGGCTCCCATAGCAAAGCCAGGTAAGGTATGGAAAAGTAATGTGTTGGTAAGCTTGGTTTATCCTTTCAGATGACTTCTGCACTTTTGCAAAGCTCATAAAGTTTGTTCCTCTTTACTTTCAGTGACTGTAATGTTGGACAGCAGAATTCAAGCCATTTGCTCCGAGTTATTGAATTTAGACTGAATGCATGATTCTGAAACGTTAACAGGTTTTGTGAAATAAATTCAGTCGCCTTATAAATTCATTTAATGGCAAAAAATAAGATCTAGAAAAAAAATTCTGACAATATTAGAACAGTAAGAGGAGTGCTAAGGAGGATCTCCATCCTTCACTGGATGTGGTGGGGAACATGACCACCAAGGATAAGGAAAAGGGCCGAGGTTCTCAATGCCT